AGAGTTTTAGAAAGCAAAAAGAAAACTGGCTTTCTTTGATGCCTCTCAAGCTGAGTACTGTACACCAAGCATGTGCAAACACCAAGTCCTCTTCAGCCGCAGACATAACACTGTGGGTCTCCACAGCCTGTTTCTTCTCTTTGTCCTTCTCCTTCTTCTTCTTCTCCTCATCTCCTCCTCCTCCTCATCTTCTCCTTCTCTTTCTCCTCTTCCTCTTCTCCTCTTCCTCCTTCTGCTGCTCCTTCTCCTCCACCTCCTCTTCCTACTCCTCCCCTCCTCCTTTTTTTTTTCTTCAGTACCAAGGATCAAACTGAGGACAAGCATTTGGGTTGCTGACTGAATTCCTAAGGCAAATTAACTGAAAGTCTCTGGTTATATTTGACCAAATAAAATAGATGGAGGCATATGTGGTGTTGCACATCTATGATCCTAGCACTTGGGATGCTGAGACAGGAGGGCTGCAGCAAGTGCAAGGCTGCTCTGGGCTACAGAGTGAACTCAAGACCAACCTGAACTGCATAGCAAGATCTTGTTTCCAAAAACACCAAGAAGCCTAGCCTGGGCTTGCATTCTTATCTCACCCTCCCAGAGTGCTGGGATTACAGATATGCACCACCACACCCAGTATGAATGTTCTAGTTTGAAATTAAAATTTAGGTTGATTATTTATTAGTGTAAAAATGTCATTGGTTTTTAATTCCTAACCTTTACTGGATTTTAATAGTTTTATAATTTTCTTCACAGAGATCTTCTTCATCTTTACTAAGCACGTTTTGAGGTCTTTTGCCATTATATTCTATATTTTATACCATTGCGACTGTTTTGTTACTCTTGCTATTTTTTTGTTAAACACACGGCCTCTACATTGCTAGAGAAAATTGTAGTATTTTGAGAAGAGCTGGCTTGTGGAGGCATGGCAGACCATGATGAGTTCTTTGTCCAGAGTTCTTTGTCCTCCACCTGGGAGTGCTGGGCTCTCAGTGTTCAGAGAGCTGCTGACTGCAGGTGATGGCCGAGGAGGAACCTGGGAGAAGTTGCTCATCAGCTTCAAGCCTAATTTCAGAAAAACCTCTCCTTACAAACAGTTTGGATAGAGAGGCATCCATTAATAGACCAAGTTGAGAACTTTCACACGCAAATGCCCAAGAAAATGAAAAGTTGAGAAACAGAAGTTGCTCCCCTTGGTCATTTGAACATTGAAAATATTCACCCTCAGTAATGTTATACAAATATAACCTACTTGGGATGAATCCGTCACATTCCTAGGTCAGTGTCTTTTCACTGTTTGCTTGCTGTGTTTGAACTTCTCTTCTCCCAAACGTTCTAATAGTTTACTTCTTTTCTTCTTTATTAAGTCTTTGCTAAAATAGTGCAAATATTGAAATGTTATGGAGAAGTTTTCCTTAACTATTATTTAAAATTGCAACTCCCTTTCACACCTATGTCCACCATTCCTTTCCCTGTTTTTTTTTTTTTCCTACTATAAACATTTTGCATTGCATTACTAGGAGTTCAGCTGAGTATTTACATAGCATAGGCCTGGAATTTGCTGTGCAGCCCAGGTTGGTCTTGAATTCATCTTTTGGCCTCAGCCTCCTGAGTTCTGGGATTATAAACATGTATCATCATACCTGACTTTTAATCTGTTTAATGTGGTAAGTTAGTTCTCAGAAGTCAAGACTCAAAGACCCCAGGGAAAGCTGTTTATTTTTATGTTTAGATTTAACGAAGAATGGACAGATGTGTAGAAGTGTGACTATACAAAAAGTATGACATAATGGTCCTAAGTCCGGGAATCTGGCTAGGCCTGTCAGTTCATTCTCCTTGCCTCTCTGTATGGCCAGTGTTCCTACCTCCTAAGAGTAGAGGAGTGCAGAGTAGGTGAGGAATTCATGGTCATCTTGTACACAGAAAGGTTTTGTTTGTTTGTTTTCAAAGTATTCGGGATTGAACTCACATAGAAAGGTTTTGTACCTGACTTGGGCAAGGCAGAGCTTTAGTGTCTATAACTTGCATTGGGGAAGAGAAATTTTAGTTTTCTGCTATCTTTTTTTCAGGAAAAAGAAGGGCAGATCAAAGAGATTTCCTTAAGCTTTAAGCATCCAACATCTTGTACATCATGCGTTGGGTGTTATCTGAGGCCCACCAGCTTGGATGGCTCTATTCTAGGATGTGGGCTTCCTGGTCTGATTTGTCTCAGTCTTTGTCTCACCCACTAATTATGAAATTCCAGACTGACAGAGGTTGTTTGTTTTGAGGATTTTGGTCTTTTTCAATGAGAAATATTTCATTTTCTCTTGGCATCATAGTTTCTACTAAGTCTATGCAAAGTATCACTGTTATTTCCTATGTAAAGTAGCCTTCCCCCCCCCTTTGCATACTTTTAAGATTTCCTCTTTCTTTTTTTCACCAATATCATTATTCTGTATGCTGGTATAGTTTTCTTTAAGTCTGCCCTATTTTGGGCTTCTATGACCATTTTGGATACGAGGTTTCATTAAACTTTTATTCAAAATTTCTTCTGTCTGCCCACCTCTCTTTATATATTAAATAAAATATATGTATTCTTTATATTGTCCTATGGTCCATTAATGCTTTATTCATCTTTTCATCTTTTTTTTCTCTGTATGTAATTATTTCCATTGCTATGTCTCCAAATTCATTAACCTTTTTTACTGCCTAATTTTTACAATTCCATTTAAAGAAATGTTTATTTCAGATATTTTTGGTGGTACTGAAAATTGAACTAGAGCCTTTGCACTGTGCTACCTCCCAGCTCTTTAAAAAGTTATTTTATTTTTTACCATAAGATGCCATATAGGGACTGTCCTTTTTATATTATTAATGCCTTAGACTGACTTCAGGTGTAGGCCATCCTATTGAAAAACCTGTTCAAGTTCTCAAAAGAAGTCCACATGCAGCACTTTGGAAACTATTCTGCAATTATTCAGCTCTTTCTAATTAATGGATTATTTATTATTATTATTATTATTATTATTGTGGTAAAGTCCCTTTTCCCCCAAGACACAGTCTCACTAAGTTGCCTAGGCTGGCCTTGAGTTCATGATCTTCCTGTCTCAGCCTCTCAGAATGCTGAGATTACATGTATGTGACATCACTCCTGCTTTATTTATTATACATTCTATCTCCAGAAATTCTTTTTTTCTCTGTTCAGTTTCTCTCCTTACATACTTTCCTATAAATCTCTAAATATATTGAGAACATTTATAATAGGTGTTTAAAGTCTGTTAAATTGTATCCTATGTATACAATTTCCAAGTGTGTTTCTATGACTGCATATTTTCCTGCCACTTGGCAGGCCCCAACATTGAGATCGTCCTGAGCTGCTGATCACAGGCATATACTACTGGATTTGGGGGCACGCTAGAGTCTCCTTTTGAAGATATTTTCTAAGTTCTTTCTCTCCTGAGCAAAGGATTGTTCAAGACAAGCACAACAGTAGCAAAGCTTTATTAAAGGTAGGAAAAGAAATAAGTTCTACAGAATGAGTTTGGGCCAAGTAAAAATAGGAAAAGAAGTACACCCTACAGAGTGAGAGTGGCTTATCCATGCTAGAGAACAGTGGCAAAGACCCAGTGTGGACTGTTCTTTTGGTATTATCCATGCCTCAGGCTGACTTCAGTTGTAGGCCATCCTACTGAAAACCTGCTCAAATTCTCACTAGAAGTCCACATGCAGGGCTTTGGAAATCATTCTGAAAATGTGCCCTGGGATCTTGTAGTTAATAGGCCACACCAACTTCTCCAACCAGCTTTGCCATGTCCTAAGCTCCTGTTTTACCACCATGTCTGACATCTCTTAAGTTTCCATTGGGTGCTGAAATATACTGAATTTAATGTTTCTGGATCCTTGATTTTGTTGTAGTCTTTCATAGAGTAATAGACTGTTCCAGCAGGCTGTAAGATTATTCATGGAGCAGTTTGAATCTTTTCAGGGCTTTTGAAGGATCTACAGTAGTTTTATTCTGGGCCTTCAATTTTAGAGTAAGTTTACTGCACTATGGGGACATGTCACTCACTGGTCTCTATTATATTTTCCACATGGTCATGTCTTTCATTCTGGTTGTTCAGAGCGCAAATGAGTCTGTCTTTTTGGAGCTGTTAATTCATTGGCTTACAGCTCCCCAATAATTGTTCTTTCCTGGTCCGATTTTTATTCAGTTAAAGCTCCAAGCCCATAAACTCCAGTTCCTGTCTTCTCAACTCAGAAGTTTGTAGGGCTCTGTTTTCCTTCCTTGCCCCACAGAATGATAACTGCCTGCAGGCAGAAAGTCAAGATGACACAGCTCTTTTTGCTTCTTCTTCTCTTAGGTTAAAGCAATCCTGAGCCACCTGTAGTCCATCCAGGGCTGAAGGGCAGTTTCATGTATTTTGTGTTTTGTTCACTTTGCCAACTGCGTAACGAGAGACACAGTCCAGATTTCCTCTTCTTGCTTGAAAGCCAAAGCCTTAGTGTCGTGGGTAATGAAAACTGTTTAATAAATGTGATTTGCTACATTGAAAAACTATTTCTCTCAACTTTTTTTTTTTTTTTTTGTGGTATCGTGGATTGAACTCAGGCCCTTGAGCTTGCCAGGGAAGCACTTATTCTACTGAGCCATCTCCTTGGCCCCTGAAAAAGTATTTCTCTTTGATACTCCTATTTTTCTCCTCCAGAAATGTAATGTTGATAGGTGAGCGCGCGCGCGCACACACACACACACACACACACACACACACACACACACAGAGTAAAATAAAAAAAACAGCAAAAGGAAAAAGGAGAGGCAGAAATGGTGAGGTGATGACTTACTCAGACTGCGCCTTCTAGCGTTAACACTCAGCCCGCGCCGTCACCTCGGGGCCGTCCCGCCCACGGGTCTCCCGCGCGCGCGCGCCCTCTCTTCCCGCCTCCCGCCGGCGGCGGCGCTCGCGCCGCGCGTTGGTGCGGTCACTGCGCCTGCGCGGCGTGCGGACGCCGCACGCTCCGGAAGTGGGCGGTGTCCCGCGCAGTTTGTGTGGCGGCGGCCGCGGGAACGCCAGCCGGCTGATTTTACTACAGGGAAAAGCGAGGATTCGAGGCTTGCGACTTGGGAGTGAGCGAGCGTCCGGCCCTGGCGGCTGTTCTGTGTTGCGGGAGGCTGCATGGAGAGTGAACAGAAGCGGCAGCCGGGCGGCGAGGCCGGGGCTCCCGCGCCGCGGCAGTGCGAGGAGGCGCCGCGTCCGGACCGCGCGGTGAGCACTCGTTCCGCGCCCCGTCCGCCCCTTTCCGGGCTCTGCGGAGCTGCACCCTGCGCGCTCGGCGCTGCCGTCCGGCCGCGGTCCCCGGTCCCCAGGGCCGTCGTGGGCGACACCCTCGAGGCCGAATTCCCTCTCGGTAACTGCATAGGTGGAGTTGTGTGCCCCGGACTTTCTGTGTTCACTGCTGCTCTTGTCATTTTAGCAGGCTCTTAGCGGTAATCGGTAAGGTTTTTTAAAGCACCGTATGCCCCATGCTTACCACTTTTTAGATTTGAGTATGAACGTGCTCAGGCAGGAGCAGCCAGGCCCCTTCCTTCCAGCCCTAACCTGGCTGGTGTCTGCCTGTTGACTGGAGCTTTACCAGCTTTTTAGCCATTTATTTAGACTACGTAGTATACAGCGATTTTGATACCTCCCTGGTATATCCTGATTACAGTGACAAAGTCGGAGAGACAGTGTTTTGGGCTCATTTGTTAGTTTTGATTTTCTGAGGCCATTGTCATTTGGGCTGGCCTCCGACAGCAGTTCTCATGTCTCAGCCTCCCGAGTGCTGGGATTACAGGCGTGCACCACCTCTCCAGGAGCAGAACTAATTTTAAACTTTACTAATTTAATGAATATAGTTACTCTTGACTAGGACTAGAGAACGTAAATCTAACATTAAAATTGGTTTTTCTTGCAGTGATAGACATATATATGAGAGAGCACCCACAAAGTGCGTGTTTTCAAGAAGCTTTCTAGCTGTTTTGTACCTTCCGTTTTAGGGCTTTCTCCCCAGGGTGTTTACACTGTACCTTCATTTTGTCATGTATGCTTTTCCTCCTGGTTGTCTCCTTCCTAAGTAGCTACCATTGCAAGAGGCCTTCCCTGTATTCTCTGTAAGAAACCACTCTTGCACTCCATTTCCTTCATTCAGAGATACATTTTGTGAGTAACATCCTCATCTTAAGTCAATTTAAAAATAATGGTCAAAAGTTCGTTTTTAAGAAGAGAAGTGTGTTGAATATGCTTCATTGTGTTTGAAAGTCTTGAAATTTTGAGATAGGGAAACTTGAAGCCTGGATCTATGTCCCAAATTGGTTTTGACTGTCATATTTCCTAAAAACTTACTGTTGTATGTTGAGTAAGTGCTCATAGTACATACTGATTACATTCATGTTAGTTGGTAAGTGTCCATAGGATGTGTTCTGTAATTGTTTACTTCTTCCTTTCACCTTTCCACCCTTTCCTCCATCTCAGTCCCATTCAGTGTTGGGCAATTTCTTTTAACTGTGAAATGAGGTCAGGTTAAAAAATTGTCAGGAAGTCACAGACTTATATATGCACAGTATTACTGTTCAGTTAAACAATGGTTCATCTGTAAGTTTTAGAATGTTTGTGTGCAGATAGTTCTACAGCCTATGATGGTAGTAAGTTGCCATTTACTAATAGCTACTTCTTAGCTAGATATTAGAAGCCTGCTGTTCATAATCTCATTTTATACTGCTACCCAGATACTATTTATTATTGCTAAATACCATTTGGAACAATTATACTTTATTTTATAGATGAGAAAACAAGATCAAAGGCTACCTAAAGTTGAGGGCTAACAGTAAATGATAGCTGGGGCTTTGTGGCTCTTTTTATTTTGCTTCATTGCCTTTTAGGAACCCTATGACTCAGAATAGAGCAAGGTAAATTATATTGGAAAAATCTCTCTCCTTTCCCATCCAGCTCTGCTTCCATCGGTTGCACTTTATTAAACACGTAGCATGGTGATGCTGCAAGAATTTGAATTTCAAATACAAGAGATTTGTACTAATTATGGGCTGTGTCCTCCCCCCTTTTGTTTTCTATAGAAAAAGCAACCATACAGGTGTGATGGCCAGGAAACAAAAGGATCTAAGTTCATTACCTCCAATGGAAGTGATTTCAGTGACCCAGTTTACAAAGAGATTGCTATTACAAATGGCTGTATTAATAGAATGAGTAAAGAAGAACTAAGAGCTAAGCTTTCAGAATTCAAACTTGAAACCAGGTAATTAAACTTTAAAATTACAAATATAGTGCATGCTTGCTATAGAATATCTTGAAAACACTGAACAGTTAAAAATCATCTTCATTAGTTATGGTGCATACCACTAGGAGATAGAAAGATCCCAAGTTTGAGGCCATCTAGTGAGATTCTGTCTCCAAGTAAGTTTTAAAAAAGGATGGCATGCTTAGCGTGCATGAGGACCCAGCTCTGCAACAAATATTTTTTAAAAAACTGATGACACTTGAAAAACACTTCAAAAGAAATTATTGCCTCTGTATCTTTGTGTGCAGTCCTACCTTTTAGAGAAAATAGGATTGCAGACTCATGTAGCTGAGTATTTCTATAATCTAATAGTTTTAATAATCGTAAGTATGCTTAAAATTTTTATATTTCTTGTAGATGACATAATTATTGAACTTTTGAGATTGAATTTTTTCTTTTGGCCATTTGTATTTCTATGAAGAGGGTCTACCTGAAACCAGGTATATTAAATCATTCACTTATAAAGTTTTTGTTTTTAGTTTCTAAAAATAAGATAGAGTTATGGTATGGATTGTGTTTAACTGAATATTGAATGAGAAAGCAATGGAACTTCATGATATATTTTTGTATTTTAATGAGTTATATATACACATACTTAAATTTTTAATAGTATCTTGCAAAACAAGTCACTCTTTTTGGTTTGAGACATGGGATAGAATGAGTAAAGAAGAACTAAGAGCTAAACTTTCTTTTAAACTTTTTTCTGGACTTTTGGAGTCCAGAAAGATATATATAAGTTTTGATAAACAGTAGAACTGCCAGGCATCAAGAAAGAAATCAACTCTTAATAAAAAGGTATTTTTTCAGGGTACTACTGAATCCTTGTTTTTTCTAAGTGTATTTCTCCTCTTTGCTTTAAAATATAATCTCACTGTTTTTCAAAAAAAGAAAAGAAAAAAAAAAAACTCCATTTTTTTCCCATGTAAATTGTCTACATAATTTGTGAGGAAAATTTTGACTTTATTTGCCCCAATTCTTTGTATTCTAAAGATACAACTTATAGTCTACAGGAGATTTTCTGAGTAAAATTTTTGTCCTCAGCTGTGAAGATCATTTGCTTGCATTTGGATTGCTTGGGAGCTAGAGATCTAGTATATTTATACGTTTATTCAACAGTCTCATGCTGAGCTCTAAGCACTACACTAGGCATTGAAGTCTTTAAGGTAAATACAGATGTGTTTCACACTTTGGAAATCTCTTAGTCTTGGCAGTATGCAAAAATAGTCACAAATCAGAATGGCTAGTGCTACATCGGTGGTCTGGCCAAGTGCAGCCTAAGGACAGAGGAGAGAATTCAGGAAGATGGCATAGGAATTGTGCTAGACAGAAGAGAGAGAGACTATTTTAGGGACAAAGAACTAAAAGATGGAAATTCTACACTGATATGTTTTTTACTATATAATCTTGCCTTTTTTTGGCTACTGTACAGTCATAGTTAATAGAATATGAAAACATCCCATAGTTAGGCCATGATGTACATTATGTTTTGTATATAGTATATAACGTATAAATGTACAGTGGGGGAGCAGGAACATTTGACAGTGACTCACAAGTGACAAACTGTTAGCCAAGCTTTGAAGGAACCCTTTGCTGAAGTATGCATTTTACCTTACAAGCAAGAGAGACCCACTAAAGATAATGAGGTAGGAAATTGGCATTAGTGCTCATTTCGCAAGGAAGGTACAGAATAAAGTAGTGGACTTGTTATATAGTCCAAGGAACTAATGGGAGCCGCAGTAGAGAAAATAGAACCAGATTTTGAATATTTTTCTGCATTGGAATTGGTAGTCCTTAGTATGTAAATATGGAGGAGCAAGGGAGGTGTTAAAGACAACAGGTACCATTGAGTTTGCAGGCAACTCTTTTAATCAGTATGGTTTCTCAAAAAAAAAAAGGAAGACAAAGCAATTTAAAGCTGTTACATGACACACAGGTCTCTATAATGCCTTGAAATCTTGTCAAAGAGGTGAAGAGATCCCTGCTCTGCCTGCCCAAGTTTCAGTACTTTGGAAGATCTAAAACATGTGAAAACATTTTGTCTTAAAACAAGCACTTGGTTTATTGTCAGTATTTTTCCAGGGTAAGGTTCCTTTTCAGTGCCAAAATTCCAGCACTCAAGATATTGGGGTAGGATGACTGCAAGATAGAGTCTCACTTAGCCAATTTAGTGAGACATTGTCTTCAAAAGAGCTGAGGTGTAGCTCAGCATGAGGGCCGTAGGTTTAATCCTCAGTACAAAAATGGGGAGGGGGACAGCAGGGTATGGCCCATTGGTAGACCACTTGCCTAGCCTCAAATACTCAAATGCCTGAGTTCAATACTCAGACACTGCTCCCCCACCTGGCAAAAAGGCTAAAATGAATAGAGGGGTTTTTTTAGTCATTAATTGGTAGTGTGACCAAAATGACTCACTTGACACTACTCATTGATAGCAATGTACATCTTTTTATTTTTACTACTGCTTTTTATTTACAGACCAATATATGGTTCAGTCAAGTAACACTGAAGTCTGAACACTGGTTTTGCCTTCTATGTGAATTACTAGTATGTTGGAGAAAAGGTTCTTCTGTACAGTAACACCTCAGTTCATGAATGCTTTTGTTTGTAAACAGTTCAGTTCACAAAAGTGTTTGGCAGAATTTTGCTTCCATTGACGAACTACGTAGGTTGACAGAGACGACTGTAGCCACCTTGCCCACACAAACACAGTTATTTTCTCTAGGATAGTAAAACAAATTAAGTTTGTAAACGGAGGTACCACTATAATACTACAATGAAAAGTTAACTTGTAAAAGGAAATGTTTATGTTGTAATAATGTTTTATGTGTATTAGTTTTTTTGCTAACTTATCTTTGAGTCTTACTTTCCTTTATTTTAACATTCACTAAATTGTGTTGACTATCAGTGTTCAATCCAGTGCCCATAAGTAAAAGTCGTGATTCTTGGCAGTAAAATTTACCTTAGTAAATTATATTTTTCTTTTACTTAGAGGAGTAAAGGATGTATTAAAGAAGAGACTGAAAAACTATTATAAGAAGCAGAAGCTGATGTTGAAAGAGAGTAACTGTGCTGACAGTTACTATGACTACATTTGTATTATTGACTTTGAAGCCACTTGTGAAGAGGGTAACCCACCTGAGTTTATACATGAGATAATTGAGTTTCCTGTTGTTTTATTGAATACACACACCTTAGAAATAGTAAGTGAATTGCTGTATTTTATTATTCACAGTACTCAATCTGATATTCTCTAGATCTTATTTTCATTTTAGCTAGAATTATAATTTATAAGTGAGTCCTTTTGTTATTGTTATGAACTTTGTGTTAGTAGGAAAACCAATAACACAGTTTTAGAAACTGCTTCTTTCCTATTCCAATAGCTCACATTATAGTTTTTTTTTTTTTTTTTTTTTTTTCTGTTTCTTTAGAACATCTGTGTGGATATTATAATCTCTTGGGAAGCTAAGAGAAAAAAAAACTGATTCCTGGTTCCACAGATAATAATTTAATTGTTCTGTAACTGCTTTGAAAATTTTTCAGATGGTGTAATATGCAGTCAGGGTTAGTGATCTCAAAATAATAACTTACAAAGAAAACTGGCGATCTTTTTTTTTTTTTTTTTGAGACAGGGCCTTGCTATGTAGTTGAGGTGGGTCTTGAATTCACTTATGTATCCCAGGTTGCTGGTCGTCTTTCTGATGGAAAGTTTATGGGAGAAAGAATTTTGTATAACTATTTTAAAGTCATATATATGTTTTAGGTAATTATGGTCAGTGCATTCTTAGTTTAGGAAAAAATAGAATGAGTCCCACAAAATATTGTTGATCTTAAAATCTGAGTGAGGAAACATCATAATATCTTATCGATAGTAGCAACACATACCCTGAGAGGAAATCTAGGACTTTGTGCATGAAAATACATAGTTTTCTTCTTAAGAAAACTATGTTGAAAGCCTGTTTTTCATTCACTTTATATTCTGACTGCGTTGGCTGGGAAAGGAAAGGAGTCACTAGTTACAGAATTACATTACTATTGTATATTCAGGCAGAATTGGGAGTGGAGTTTCTAATAATCTTGGTTGAGCATAAAGGTAGTGCCAGAAGGGGTCGACCCCTGGCTGATGAGGGGCAGGGACTGCTGGGAGAAAGGCAGGGAGTGGGTGTGGAATTCCCATTGGAATGTTCATATTCCAGGGTTCCCATCCAGGTACCAAAGGATCCTCCATGAAGATCACAGGGGGCTCAGTCCAGAGTGGCTCCTCACAGGGAATAGGCATGACATCATACTGGGGGTTGAACTCAAGAGATGGGACAGTAGCCCCTTCAAAGAAAGGACTTGAGGTGGCATTGTCTTCCCATCCCAGGATCCTATACAGGGCCTCTCCATAAGGACATGGCAAGGGGTCACGCCTTGGTTTCTCATTGGCCTCACAAATAGTCCAGTATAAATCCTGAAGACTTATCAGCAAGTGTAAACACTTTTTCCAATTCTTCCTTATGCCTCTGTAACTGAGACGCTCAGCAATCGCTTTTGACAATATGTAATTTTTCTCCTTCTCTGGTAAGTACATTTCATGTACAAGAAGTTCCCATTCTTCAAGGAAGCTTTGGATTTCCTGCTCACTCCATGGTTGAATGAACTGGCTTAATAACTTTCTTGGTTCTTGCTTTTCTTTTTTCTTCTTTGATTCTTGGTTTTCTTTTTTCTTCTTTGGTTGTTGAGTGTTTTGGAGAATTTCTTTTGAAGTTTTGGATACTTCCTCCATTTTTATTCCTGAGTTTCCTTGTAGAAGACTTCACTAAAGCCTCAGGATCTGTACCTGGAATCAGGAGAGTCAGGAGATGACCATGTGTAGAGATATGTTTGGTTCTCTCTGCTTCCCAGTTTATCCAAAATTTCTCATAGGTCTATTCTTTTTATTTTTTATTTTTTGGCAGAACTGGGGATTGAACTGAGGCCCTTGCACTTGCCAGGAAAGCGCTTATTCCACTGAGCCATCTCCCCGGCCCTCATAGATCTATTCTTAACAGCCTATTTCTGTAATATTTTCATCCAAAACGTTAAAAAATAAGTAAATTAAAAGGAAAAATGGCAGCTAGGAAGGCATATGATCTTGTGTAAATCAGTAGATTTTACTCATTCATGGACATTGCTTTAGCAGTTCTCTCTCTTGTTTAGACTATGATTTATTTCCACTGTGCTGTTCTTATAACATGCAAACATTTGTTTTCTATTTCTTTTTCTTTTTTCTTTT